ACCCGAGAATCCCAGATCTAATCGCAAAACACGCAACTCTGCAGGAAGGCTTTCGATCAGCACGTCGAGCTCATGGTCAGAAAAATTCTGGCACCCAGTCAGTGAAAGCTGCACTATCTTTCTACCAACGTCTGCCTTTACAGCTCTGGCCAGGAGTTCAGTGCATCTTCCTTGAAGGACAAATCCGTACCAGCTGCATAAAGCGAAGTGCGAAGCAAGAGCTTCATCGACTCGGTGGAAATTCGGATCCCCAGCGGGGTACGACTGCAAAAGTTCAAAGTCATAGGTTCCAAGACGAGAAAGAGCTATGCTGTTCAGTATACGAACTTTGTCGATGTTCTGCGTGGCATGAGCTTCCTTGAGCTGTCCAACATTCAAACTCATGATTATGGCTCGGACACCTTCTGGAAAAAGAGAGAACTTAGAATTAGAATGAGCCATTTTTGCGAGGTGACATACATACAATGCAAATGGAACAATATGAACAATGGATCATGGACCTTGTCCATTCAATCGATCGTCCAAATGCATAAATTGGTTCTCCAAACAACATCAAAACAGTAGAGGTTTCTTGCAATCCCGCACCAAGTTTCTTCAATTTTGACCTTCAAGCCCTTTTCCAAAAGGCCAAGAGGAAAGTGACGCTCACGAGCTGCTTTATGGTGCAACCCAATGATGCCGATCATTCGACTTTCTGCTCCAGCAAGTCCATCCGTAAGCACGTGAGCCTCAGAGATCAACAAATTTGGAACGGTCAAGACATCACTTTTCACTTAACATCACTTATCACTTATCAATACTTATCACCTCTTTGTATATAAAGATATATGGAAATGGAGGCTTACAGTAAGGTGATGTGAAAAGGTTCACCATGGTGCAGAAATGGGGGTTACGGTAAAAGGCGATGGTCTCAACCTTTGGAGCAGACCACGCAAAGGAAATGTCCACACAAGGCCACCACTTCTGTGTCGAGTAGCTTTGTCATATGCATCAGTGGCTCCCACATCAAGCAGTAAACGTCGTCTGGACCAGTTGCCCTCTCGATGTTCGATCGCCTTGGTCGCTTTTAGGGTGAAAATACCGGAATTGTCTACACCAGTGTCTCCTTTGATCCACTATCTACTGAAGCATTGCCTGCCTTTACGAACATGACCTGGTGTTGCTCCTGCTCGTTATCCCCCATTCACATGTATGCGAATCAACCAAGCGATCATGCTGTTTGGTTGTGTTTCGCATTTTGCACTGAAACAAGCTAGCTGCTAGCTGGACAAATCAAAACGTGTCCCTTCAGGCAGAACTCAACGAAAAAAACTCACGTTCATGTCACATTTTTCTCGTTCTATGATGCTTTCTCGCACTTCTAGGAATTTCTAAGGCTGGGGCAATGGCTTCCTCGAAGCAGCACCAAATCCTTTCGAAAGGCGTTCGTTGTTGTTGTTGTAAGCGGACGTCAACCTGCTCCTCACCGAAGTGAAGTAGTTAAGACGCCATAGTATGCCATCTGCGAGAATCAAGTTCCCATACTTCTCCAAGCAAAACTCAAAGGAAGCGAAACCTGCCTGAAAAAAAAGAAGTAAACACAGTGCGCCAGCTAGCATTCCGCAAGGAATGTTTGTTGATCAAGTACGACTTGCCAAAAAGGTAAAGTCCGTAGCCTCTGCAGACGCCAAACTGCTGCAGCCCAAGCCACGGCTCGCTGATGTCGCTGCACAGCCGCAGCGATCATGGAGCGTGAGTCACGCAACACCTCACCTGCCTGAGCATCGGCTGTCGCATTGAGAACGCGGCAGAGATGAACATCAATCCAACCATCTGGTGGTGTCCAGTCAGGCACCTTGTTGTGAGAAGGGATCCAAGTGCAAACAGTGCCCTGAATCAATAAGCCGCTGATCCGCTGCCAGAAAAGCGGCAAGTCACCCTCCCAACGGCCAGTGCTAATGCCTCGCTGAAGCCGCCGCACCAAAGCCTGATTGTCAATCAAGAGCATCACCGGTCTGTTAGCTGCAGAAGAGGCAAACAAGCTTGCAGAAGAGCAGCACGCTCACCTGCAGCAGGTGTTTGCTCAAAACCAGTCACGGCACCTTGAACAGTGGTGCCTGAAAGTGTCGAAACCGCCCAGCTAGCTCTTTGCCATCGATCACAGGAAGTAGCTATGATACAACTGCCGTCCAAACCCAAGGGGGGTCGCTGAAGAGGATCGAATTGCTGAATAAAAGTAACCAAAGCAGGATCTGCAACCATGTTGGAAAAAGGCAACACAGGAGGAGCATCCACAAGTGGAACCAGCAAACGACGTTCAGTAGCGCTCCTGAACTCACCATCCCATGGCTGCGCTTGGCAGTGAAAAGTGAGATGTTCTCGATCAGGAGACCGCAATCCACATTCACAACTCAAAGCAGAACCAAAGCGCTCTGTGACCCTGCCATCCACTGCAGCACCAGTCAAAACCCTGCGACTGTAGTAATCCATGCCTAAAGCTGCATTTGCCTGAAAAAGGAAAACCGGCTCCTTGCCGTTTGGCCATCGACCATCCGTTTTGGTGTCTTTAGTCCACAACCCAACGAGCCATGAATGGATAGCGGCCTTTTGCAAGCTTTTCAAAGACATCCACCCAGGTTTCAAAATCCCAGCAGGCGTGTGCCACAGGCCATCGTCAAGTCGCCATTTCCAATCTTTGAGTACTGCTTTCCAGCGAGGAGCAGGCGAGGTAGCTGCAGGCAACCCTTGGGCACGGCGGCATTGCCGATTCCATTCCGCCCGGGCGGCGGTGAACTGGAGTGCAAACATCGGATGTAGTCTTGCAGAACCCAAAGAATTCCAAAAGAGCAGCCGGCTCCTACCTGGAGGAGCCCTTCGACCCCAAAGTGCAGTTTCGATCATAGATGTCCATGTTCGAATGGTTCTTGCACTGAAGTGATGAAAAGCACCGGACCAAGCAAATAAAGATATCACCAACTTATGCACCAATGCAATGCGAGTGCCTAAGTGCTGTGCTGCCAAACGAATTTTGAGACACCGTCGCTGAATGTTGTCACTGACAATATCCGCATCAACACAAGAACTGGGGCGTGACAAATTGTATTGAATGCCAAGCAGTGTGAAAGTATCTGCAGGTACACCTACTAAATCTTTCTTCTTGCGCACCTTGGCAACCAGATGCGGTTTGGTGGCGAAGCTAGCCAATTTGTCAGGGTGAAGTTCGAAGCCGAGAATAGCATCGGCTTGCGCTCCCGCAGTCATGGCGTTGATGACCACTTCAAAACTTCGACAACCTTGTTTCCACATGGTGCGATCGTCCAAATAAATAGCCAAAGAAATCCTTGGTTCCTGCCGTTTGACAAACCTCACCCAAACTGTCATCAAAGCGTTCAGTAGCGCAGGGCTGGCTGGACAGCCTTGCAACAAACCCCGTTGAGCAATAACCGGATGAGGGTGATAAGAACCTTGCCAAGCAAACCAACGACGCTGTTCACTGTAAAAATCAGCGAGTAAATCACAAATTGATGAGGGAGCACCGAACCATCGCCACACTTTAATGGCTGTCTGAGGGCAAACTGAATCAAAACACTTGCGAACATCAGCTTTGCACCCGACCAAATCGACACGAGACTGCTTTGCCGCGCTGACAGCTTCGTAGAAACGTTCATGGACTTCCCGAAAGGCGTTCCAGCTGAATCCAGCACCAAAAGAACTCCCTCAGACATCTGCATAGCTCTGTAGAATGAAGTGCTGCGTGGGTTGCTTTTGATATCCTCTTCCACGCAGTGCTGGTTATTGGCATATGCACAGACCCAATAGAATGTACTGCTTGAGAGTTCTCGCACCAGAGCATGCTGCTCCAAGCAGGCCAGAAACTTACAAACAGGCTCCTCACAGATCTGCCCAACACAAAATTGGACGTGCTTCAAAGCAATAGATTGACTTTCATCTATCATTACGCTCGATGTTCATTTCTTTTTGATACAGCATCCTATTGAGGGTCCGAAATAAACAAGTCCAAAACTCAGCCAAGGCTTCTAGGGGAATGTGAATTATTAGCGGAAAAAGTAACTTGTTGCTGACAGACAATGCAATAACACGATCTCAAACAACCTTGAGGGTTTGCCTATCCAAGGCTCGATCCAAGCATGTGACACAAACCAATGAGGTCTCTGAACTTGAATCGCCATGAGCTCTACCATGCTGCAGCCCTTTTTCGCATAGCCGTCCTGGGATTCTGCATAATGGGGCCAATTAAAAAAGAAAAACAGGAGATTCCTCCAATTGGAAAATGTTTTGTCACATCATCAACAGATCCAGGCTTCGGTGGCTGGTTTGATGATCCAGTGATTCGCATGATACAAGTTGAAGGTCTCAAACTGCAGCCTTGTCCCACACTGTTCTCCGAAAGTCTCGCACCATCTGTCAGCCATTTTGGAGATGAAAGCAACGATCTTCGCCAATTGCTCGCGCGTGATCCCTCGCTCTGCAGTATCTTCGATGCAGAAAGCCTCCTTCGACGGGTCCACCAACAATTGCAGCAAATGAAATTGGAATGGAATTCAAAAAGCATTATGCAGTAATTACCCTCAAAAGGTGCAATCATGGGAATCATGGGCCTGCAATCTCTGAATTTCAAACGATTGACTTTTAAATACGGTTTCTCTTTATTCGATTTGATCCTATTGGTTATATTGCCTTTCTTTCACATGGTCTCAAGGATATGCCGCTGAAGTTTCTCTTTATTCTATCGACAACAGAGCCTTTGCTTCACATGTTCTCAATGCACAAAGGCGCCTGTTCAGTGGCCGACTGTTCCCCCACTATCAAGTAGATCTCACAAGCCACGTTCGAAATGCGTTTAAACCACTGAATCCCAAAACAAAAAAATGAATCGGTCCATCACATTGCTGCACTTGTCGCAATTGGTACTTGTTGGCATTTAGTTTCTAATCGTGATTTGCTACTTGGCATGGTCTGCATTACCTATTGAAAAAGAAACAAAGCTGCAGGTTTCTCTCCTGGTTGGTGATCTCTGAGTAGTTTGTCAAGACTAAAGTGCTGTGGCGGGTTGCCTCCACAATGTCATCGCACTGCAGCTGGCAGACCCCACTTGAAAGCACCTTGTTCCCATGCCATGGACTGTCTGGCAAACGCTCGCGTAGAAGAAAAATCATGTCAGCAGCGGTGCTCGAAGAAGTCAGTGCGATATCGAAATTGCCATGTCCAGGAACATCCACAGAAACCGACATGAGGCAGCGAGTCCTTTGCGCTGTCCAGCGGCACGAATTCAGTGCAGTCTGTAACAATACACAGATTTGTCGATGGTTTATTTATCATTTATCATTGACTTTCTTTTGCGCAACATGAGATTTGCCTGCTTTATTCTCAATGCGCTTGGCTACCCAGGGTTTCATGCCAAGGTAAGTGGCACCGCAGAATGCAGCTGCAGGTCCGTCTTGAAAGGAAGCTACGGAGACACAAATTGGGCAGCACCTCCAAAAGAACCAACGCAGTCACGGCCCCACGTCAAGGAAAAGAACCACAACCACTTTGCAGAACTCCTTCGAAAGCAAGCTATGTCCAAATAGCAACACTGGATGTTCAAATGTACTATATACAATATTATTATTATATATATATAGATATATGCTAGACGATGGAACATCCGTCATCAAGAATATTTCATGCTTGGTTTCCGCGCTCGTCTAGGACCAAGGCCGAGAAGTCCTGCAGCTCTTCGACTGACAGCAAAATGATGGGCATTGAGTTCGTTTCACCCCTGAACCCTAAAGGATTCTACAGGATCCTAAAGAGACAAAACAAAAGAAATTCTGTGTTAAGTCATATTATGATCATCTATAATCCAACTTCTGACATGTACATCCTCCAATAGCGTAGCCTGGCCGTGAAAACCCAATGTTTCAATAGGAAAGTCAACTGTAAAAGCAGGATTTCCTATCACCAGGTTTCACAACCAAAGGATACATGTTGGGGTTGGAAGCACTTGCCACCTGCACCGGGGGCCTCAACATCTCTCTGGGACAGGGAAGGTGGACCCGGGTTTCTCTTGGAATACCGAGCCTCAACGGAAAATTCGGGAATCGTTGTCTCTCAATGCAGTTGACCCGTCCAAAATCCATGGGCCGCATAGTGCTTGAAAGATGATGGGAATGTATGCAATCTTCCAGATGTTCCAGAAATGTTGCTGCCAATGATAATCAAGGTCATAATCTCGTTGCTTTTCATGATGAAAACTCGTGTTACTAGTAGTATGTCAATTGGTATCAACTCGAAATCATTCTAAATCCCTGGCCATGTCCTCACCCCACGACTCTCGAAACTCGTCAATCGCGCAGTGCTGGGCGTTCGGGCCGCTGCAGTGAGTTTTTCCTGCAGCGCTGGGATGAAGCCAGGCTCATCCTTTTCCACATGCGAAGCCCATTTCGGGGACATAGTCCCAGCAAACGGGAGACTTTTGGATAAGGCGCCCTTTATCAGGATATGACTGGTGTCTAAATATCGGAATCCCCACACAAGTTGTGTAATGGTGTGTACACATGCGAAAAGCTGGTAATACGGAGCAGCTTGCGGAATAGTCACATGGTTGTCCTTTCCACACATTGAGTGGTGTAAACACCCCAAACAATGGAAACCATCTCAACTTGAAGGTGCTGAACTTCCATACAAGTTTTGGCATTGATAAGATGTTGTAAGCGTGTACATGGATAAACCCTAACCCTTGCTGCATCATCCTCCATGGTAGAAACCCTGGCAATTGTCACTATCTGCATCGCTTTCCTCAAGTGATGCACCAAAACAATCCAAAACATTTGAGATCTTTCAGGGTCAAGTCCAGGCACCTTTTTCCAAGCTAAGTCATGGATTTTGACCCAGTGGATCGACCCCACCAGATTCTGGATTCAAATGGTGTTTCTGGTGTTATGTTGTTTGATGTTGTATGATGTTGTTGTCATGTTCTTAAAAGAAATGGCCATACACCCACAACTTGTCGAAACTCGAAAATTCTCGGCGTGATGTTCCCATTTGGAGCCAGTGGTGCCTGGTCCAAGGCGCAGCGTGCCGAATGGCAGCACTCAGCACTTCATGCGGTGGACACATTGGTTACACCTGTCTCAGCGGCTTCTTTCAACGTTTTTCAAACAAACAACTTCTGTTCTGCTCCCTTCAGACTGTCTTTTTCTTGTTGGATGTCTTTCACCACAAGAGGGCCAATCTTGAACCCTACAAAGACTGAAAACGAGTTTCCAAGCAAAGGCAAGCCGCAAATACCCGGGAAGACATCCCAACAATGGAGGTTGAAAACTTACAGATCACACCAGAACCGAAAGCTTCATGAAGACTTCGACTGAAGACTTTGATACCTGTGATGACTTCGACTGGACATTCCGATGCCTCGGTGTGCGAACGTCTCTCCAGTTGCGCGCCAGGTGCCACTGCCACCTTGGACCTTGGTCGCCCAATGCAGGTGCTACTCTCAAAACGCCTCAAAAAATAACGAAACAAGAATAGAATGCAATAAATATCATGAGGACAAACATGGACAAACCATATGAAATGCATTGCAACTAGATTCAAAGGGGTTGTTGGAAGTGGGTGAAATGTGAAATCTCCTCGCTTGACTGTGTGATCTATACCCAGGAATCAGTCCTAGCCACAACCCTATCAAGCGGGCAGATGGCAGAGCACCCCATCGTTTTCGCCGAAACAAACAAGGAATCCTTCATCCGCATAGCCGGACATCTCAGTCGACCATCTCACCAGTTGACGCACTTTATAGCCGAACAAATTGCGGGCAACTCACTGAGATCATTCTCGTCCAGCCAAAGCTCTTGCAGACTTCCGAGCCCTGAAAACATATTGGGCCAGACTTCAGCGGGTAACTCGCCGAGTTTGTTGTCATGCAGCATGAGCACCTGCAAAGTTGCTAAGACCTGCGAAGAGATGAGCCCACACTTCGGCAGGCAACTTACTGAGCAAGTTCGACCACATGGTCGAGCTCCATGCAAGTTAACTGCAGAATACCGAGAAGACTTCAATCGATGCAACTCAACTGAGCGAGTGTACCTCAGGTTTGAGCTTCTGCAAACCTGCCGAGAGGCCCGGAAAAGACTTCCAGCACGAGTATCTTCACTGGAGGCGCGTTCTACTCAGGTCCAGCTCCTGACAACCTTCCTGATCGGAAAAAGACTTCAAGCAGGGTAGCTCACTGTCGAGTTCATTCAGGTCCGCTCGCTGCAACTTCCTAGCCCGGAAAGACTTCCGCAGGTCGCCGAGCTGAGCGAGTTCATACATCAGGTCCAGCTCCTTCAACCTTCCGAGAAGTGCCCGAAAGACTTCCGGCCGGTAGCGAGCTGAGCATGATTCAACCCCAGCTGGAAGCTTCTGTAATCTTTGGCTCGAATGGGGGGGAGTGAGAGCCCTGCATACAGATTGTACCCAGACTTCAACAGCACTCTGCCAAGTTATGTTGACCTCAGGTCCACTCCTGGGAGTTCTTCTTGATCCGCTCAGACGTTAGGCAGACACATCGCTGAAAATCGTTTCCGCTCAAGTAGACAACCTCTGCAAGTTACCCCAATCCCTAGCACACGATTTGAGCCACTTTAGAAGGCTCAACACTCGCCGATTTATGTTGGAATTGGGGGGAGGTTCACCAAACCGCAAGTTGCTAGAGACTGCGAGATATGGGGCCACACTTCGTCAGGCAAACTCACTGAGGGCAAGTTCCGACCACCGCAAGCTTCCTGCAAAGTTACTGAGTCCCCTCTGCAAAAACTTCAGCAGGTAGCCTCACTGAGCGAGTGGTAACTCAGGTCGCAGCATCCGGGATCTTGCCGAGCCCCGGAAAAGATTTCAGCATGTAGCTCCTGGCGAGTTGGAAACTCAGATAGAGTTTTCTGCAAGTTGCTGAGCCCTGCAAAGACTTTCACGGCATGACACGAGATGAAGCGATTTTAACCACAGGGTTACTTCTGCAAAGTTTGCCTGAGGCTGTCTGCAAAACTTGGGCAGGCAACTCTTTTGAGGCCATGGTTCCGACTCCGCCCAGCTCCTGCAAGTTGATGAGCCCGGAAAAGACTTCAGCAGGTAGCTCACTGAGAGTGTTCCATCTCAGGTCCAGCTTCTGGAGTTTGTTGAGCCCTGAAAAGATTTTGCCTGGCAAGTCAGTCAGCTTGTTTGAACCAAGGTCGAGGGTCTCCAACAAAGGAATTTTATCAAGGACGTTGTGTGGCAGCGAGATCAACTTGTTTTCGCTCAGATCGAGAACTTGTAGCCGCGGGCTGTGCTGCAAAAGCTCTTGCGGAAGTATTTTCAGTTCATTTCCATCAACGATCCGTTCGAACTGATCATCACGTTTACCCCCCAGCAACAATTGCTCCAGAGCTGGCATGGGGCGCAGCAAATCTTCTGGCAGCACCTTCAAATGATTTTGGCTGAGGGACAAGATTCTCAAACTTGACAACCCAGCAAATGTGTCAGACTCCAAGTGCTTCAAACCCAAACGGCCCAAGTCCAGCAGTTGCAAGCGGTCCAAAGAGGCGAAGACCTTCTCAGGCAGAACAGGCAGCCTATTCGCAGAGAGCGACAACCGTTTCAACCCCGGGCAAGAGGTGAAGGCATCCTCTGCAACACTTGTGATGTCCTGCTCACTCAAACTCACATCTTTGAGGCGAAGAATGCCTATAAGGCTGCAACTCGCAAGGTGCTTTGCACCATGATCCTTTTGGTGACAGCGGCACGGAAAGCATCCAAAATCAGTCGTGTCAATCGGGTAGAAGCGCGTTGAAAGCAATAGAGCAATGATCGTGACAAGCAAACAGGGCGAATACCTAAGCAGTGGTTGCAAGGAGAAACAAAGAACTCGAGTTCATCCATCAAAGCCCGATGGTATGAAAGGGGGGGCATTCCGGCACAGCACAAACTCACGCCATGATGAAACAGAAACCTAATCTCAGGGGGATTGATATTGAAGATATAGGTATCATAGGGATTGATATTGAAGACATAGGTATCATAGGTATCATAGGTATTGAAAACCTTTCAAAAGCCCGTGGAACCCCCTTGGCTGTTGATGCTGGGGAACAACAACTTAAGAAGTGGTGTATAAGATTGTATTACTATGCTTGAGGACGCACAAAAGGGTGCAGCAAGTACAGTAAAGCTGAGAACAACAAGACACCTCCTCTGTACAAATATTTTGACAAGTTGAGGGGCTTCGAGATACTCACATGACAAATTGTGTCAACATGTCCAACAGGTTGCGAAACCACGATGGATTGAAAATTGCGGAGACAACATAAAACGAAACATAACGAAACCAATGCAGCAAAAATGCAAGGCTTTGCAACACATCCGATATCTCTTTGAGCAAGAAAATCTCGATGGGCTCAGCAGTGACTGGGAAGTAGAGTTCGGTAAGCGTTGCAACTTCTTCCAGCAGGTCGATCGATTGCTTCGCTCTAAGGCACGGCAAACAGTGCAAACATGTGCAAGTGAATAATAAACAGCAAAGAAACCAAAAAAGTCGGCTGGGAACGCAAATGCCGGGTCCAATTCTGCTTGGAAGTTGACCGAAGCCTCATCCCCGAAATTTCCTCGAATGACTTGGTCCATCTGCAGTTCGTAGATGGCCAGCAAGGTGATGATGAGGTATGTGCTGGTGTAAGCAATATCAAGAACTGCATCCATCATGGCAGCACCACGCCGCACCCACTTCACAGAGGGGACAGCCAACAAAACGCTTGGATAGATGCTGTTCAAACATAGGAAACCCATAAAAGTCCAAAAGCATCTTTCGAATGCATCTGAATGCTTCGGAGCTGAATGGAATGCAAAGGACACCAGGCCACCCATAATTTGGAGTTTTCCGAAAGCCTGCAGCATCACCGTGAATAACTGCAGCATTGCAACCTTGAAGCCGTAGAGCTTGCCTTCAATGCCAAAATATTCCTCGTAGAGCAGCTGGGTGGGTTTCAACGGTCTCAACTTGAGATTGGCTGACCGACACCGGCGCAGGTCGCTCAGGAGGACGATGATCAAGGCCAGGTACGGCAAAGAGAAAACAATGGAAGGCAACAGCGGCAAAAGGCTCTCCTCCAACCATCCTCCAGAATCAGCAGCGGCAGCCTCCGGCAATCTCCCATCGCTGGGCTTAACCGTCTGCTTGAGAGCAAAAGCATCTCGAATCAGTTGCGGAAGGTTTGAACGGATGAAAGGTGGACTGTACCGCACAAAGTATTGCCCCCCAAGGTACGTTGCTGCAAGTAATGAGCTGATCCGAAGCAAAGCAACAACAACGACTACCAATCGTGATTGCTGTGCTGGTCGCCCAGACATAAGCAAAGGATCTACCTGCAAACTGCCTGCCAGGAGTCCCACCTGTTCTGCCAAGTGGTGCACATCATCCACTTGATTCTCCAGCTTTGTCAAAGAGGCTTCACGGAAACGGATCGTGGCTAAATAGTGGTTGATCTTGACCACCATCTCGGCACATCTGACACCAGCATGGACTGAAGCAAAAGAATCGCGGGTACGCGCAATCTTGATTTCTCTCAACTCATCATATTCTGCTCTGGTTTTCAGAAAGCACCATGCACTGAGCATTTTCTCCCAATCATCGAAGATTACATCGCAATACAAGAGATCCAAGATTCGGCTGGGTTCACCTTCTCGCACGACAGCCTCTTGTGCCACTGGCACTGTCATCAGTACGGGCCGCAAAGCTTGCCGTGATATGGAACCAGGCTGCTCTTCCAAAAACTCTCGCAGTGGGAGGCACAGATTCTTGTCGAAGTCGTCAAGACGCTTTCTGGCTTCAACGAAGTGTTCCGTCAAGCTTGTGATGTGAGGCTGGGCAATATCGGCTCTGCCCCAATCACCAAAAAGCCTGGACAGGTCATTGTGCAAATTCTTTGCATACAAAGCTTCCGATTCAACTTCAAGCCTCCTTGACAGTGTTTGCATTCTGTTGAGCCGAGCTGTGGTGTAAACAATGCTGACGATTGCAATTGAGAAAACAATCAGAAAAATCAACGTGCCAGACACTCCTGTTGACTGAGAAAAGCTATAACTTGCAACGGGCAACAGGCTGAGAACCAGAAGAACCAACAAAAATCGGCTCTCTACCTCTGCCACTGCTTGTGCAAGAATCAGCACACTAAGCTCCACATTCTGGCGCCAAGCATTTCCTACAACACAAATCTTCTTGAAAAGGCCCGACCAGTGGTGCCTTTCGCAATAACCGCTCTCAGAAGAATGAAAAGAATGACATGAAGGATGGCTGCATGGGAACGGTTTGCTCACATCCAACATCTCCTGTTGAGTGCTGTGAGGCTCTGTCTCCGCATCTTCTCCAGCTGATTCATCACTGCTTGTGGCGCTGGACCTGCCAAACCTGGTTGGTTCAAAGTACACTGAGCTGACATGTGGCAGCTGGCGGGCACTGAG